TGGCCGCCGTTAGCCGTGGTTTTGTCCGTCCATCTCATGTCTGCCTGCCTGCCTGCCTGCCTATCTGTCGGTGTGTCCGTCAGCATTTCCGATTTTGATTTCGGCGGCGACCGCTGAATGTGCCATCAGTAGCAAGCGTGGTTTTTTCGCTGGTGGAATCGATGACGATGATCATAGCGCCTGCTGCCGATACAACGAAAACAACTTCCGCTTTTTTCGATTTTGCCGCGATTCGCTCGCTTCATTTGCGTTTGTTGTTGGCTTTCGCTAGAAGAGGGCTGGTTAACTAGCGAGTGGCAATAGCTGTCGGCTTGATTAAGCATTAAACGTTGGTCGGGCTCATGTTGCTAAGGCGCACACAAGACGAATATAATGAAACGGGATACTAAAGCTTCTGTATTTCTCGATGGTTTTTCTATCTTGAGAAACTGGTCCTACTGTCGATTATGTGAAATATACACCAGGGAGCGATTAACAGCAATTGTGAACGGCGTTGAATTTTGGCGGGCGTTCGTTCTTTTGACAATATACAATTGCACTAGACTTTTAGCTTGGTACGTTAGGTTCCTCTAAGTGATTTGCTTTACTGGGATAGAAGATGCAAAATGAGCTCATACAAAGCTAAATGAATCAGCTATCACTCGCTAGTCGTCTTTTTGGGATCGTCAGCTAAAACTTGTGCAGAGTTTGCCGGGAAGCTTAAACGCTTCGTAGGAAAATTCAGGTTGTACCACGCTCTTGCAACGGATAAGTTCAAAAATCCGTGATAGAGTAGGTTATGCATAGGTAACTTTCAAAGCTTGTATAAAATCTACTTCTTTCTCTATTGGTTCATTTGAGCTCGAAGTTTATAAAAGATGATTTTTAAAAGATTTTAAATCTTTCACCGCTGAGTCGAATTATTTATGCTCGCATCAACCTACGATTAGTAAATTCACTTTACAGCTAGAGCTTTTCCACTGTAGATATTTGCGCTCTGATCCTTACTGAATCAGGTGGATTATCGGTGGATAATCTTGTAAGTTTCCTCAAAGACCGCAGTCATCATCCACATAGTTAATAATTAATAAGTTACAAGCATTTAGGTAGAATCAAATAAATTCTACTTGTCTTCAACTGCCCCGATATCTTCCGCAGGCAAAGATTTACAATGTTGCAGTTACCTCCAGATCTGTACGAGGTATCGGTTACCTTGAAGAAGACAAATAAGTTAATTGCCCCTTAAAATAATCCCGCGTAATCGTTGCCTCGTCATTGACAAGCAAAATCAATATAACGTGGTTCGTTATAGCAAATCGTTAGAACCCCTAATAACTGTCTCTTTTAGTGACCTGTCCCCATAGCAAATATTCACGTTGAAAGAACACGTCTCCAATGCCGACACTTGATTCTTCCTTAGTTAAAACTGCCCCTACACCCATTTATACATCTATTAGCCGAAACTACTGTTAATATACTAGCGTTATTATCCTGCCGTTCGGTTGACCTCCTACAACGTTCGCCCAATGACTTCACAGCTGACAGATATGCTGGAACTTGAAAAAATACCTCAACACCTCACTGTTGACACAATGGATAGGCTGGTTCAAACCTTGCTGACGGCATGTACTACGCGAAAAGTGTGGCTTAACAAAGAGACATTATTGATATGCGCTGCTTGAAAAAACAATGGAAGTTCAACGCTGTTTAGATGGCTGGTCTTTGGAAACGTAAGCTTTGATGAGACCAAGAAAGATTTGTCTAATCAAATAAATACGGAATAATTATGATTACACCTGTAGCTATTCGAATTAGCTTTCAGTGTGGTTCCGATGGGATCCATTCGGTTAGGATGCTGCCACTAAAACGCTTCGACCTAAGGCAGACAAAAGAAAAAACGTGTTACTTTCTGGTTCGTTTATTTGAAAATGGTGCGTGTAAACAAAGTAATGCTTTATTAATCGCAAAGTTCTGATAAGAAATTTACATGCGGCGTATGGGTCAATACAGGAGATATGCTTTCCTTTTCATCTATGCAATTAGCTAAACCTCTCCCAACTGCTTGTACCACTGGGTCAAGTAAAGGCAATGCACACATTCAACTAAGAGCTATCCGTTCACCTAAAGATAATTTTACATTTCCTAGCCAGATCGCAAAACGTCGAGGGTGTCTCGGTTGCGTGGGGATCTCACAGAAAACAGTGAAAGATATTTAAATTTCCAGACATTGTACCCGCGTTGACGAGTTAGACATACGTGAAAGTCATAGAACGTCATTTGCTGGCGTCAAACCCACTGTTTGAACATAAACTGTATTCGACAACGATTCATGACGTACTGCGGTACTGTGCTAGTATACATGGTGTTCTCTCTCTTAAAGTGAAAGAAAGTCTTAAATTGAAAGAAACGATGAAGGGGACTTCTCTTAATCGCAATGGCGACCGCGCTATCTTGTCAAATGTTATAGAAAAGCCTTATCGAATAATGAAAAAGAACGAATGGCGCCTTTTAAGAAGATCAACTAAACGCTCAGGGTTTGTTGTGTCTCCTTAGTCAGTGGCGGAAAGACATAACGACTCCCGACGAAGGAGCAGTCACCATAAAGTGTAACGTGTTGGCGAAATGAAAGACCTGTAGTCGCTGGGGTAATCGTAATGGCTTTTTAGCTCCCGGTGGAAGAGGGCATTTTGTTAACATCTTATGTCTAACATCTTGGCCCTTAATCCGCTGGTCCATCGCCGGAAACCATTTTCTTGCGAAAGAGCTCCAGCTTCTGGAATCGCCCCATGTCGACCAGCTTCTGAGTTCAGGGTCCGGTTTGCTGTGCGTGTGCTGACGCGAATTACCTTTTTTTTTTTCTGTTAGGCAGCTGGCTGCTCATCCCTCTAAATTTCTCTTCCCTCACAATAATAGCCAGTGGCTGTGGTAGTTTTCCCTGCTTACGTTGTACCATTGATGACGGCTCCTACGGATGGATCTCCTCCGGTCTTTTTGCTTTTCTTGATATCTCGTCGTTGCTGTCTCGCTTGTTGACTTGTCTACTCGCCAGGTATGGCTGAGTGGCAACCGTTGATTAATAGCGGCGTGGATCGTCGGTCCAAATGCTACCTATGCCACCGTGCGTGACTAGTGGTGTGACTATCTTCGCTTTGATTACCTTGTGAATCGAACTCCGTAGCTAAATCGCTATTTCCTTTATGGCCTTTTTTTTTTTTTGCTATTCTACTGCTACGACAAAAAGCTCGCAAGCCCCTTTGTATTTGTGTAGCCAAAAAGAGTGTGGCCTATGTCTTTGTATGCGTACCCGTCGTGTAGGACGCATTTGCCAGTCGGTCTGTCGCAAATCTCATCGTTCAACAACTTTCGCTTTCCTTCTTCTTCGTCGAAAGAAATTCGTTTTTCTGTCTGTCCTGGTCTGATCCTCGCCCATTTACCGCCATCGCCGTCATCGTGGCCAGATGCCATCTTCTGATGCTCTTCATTTTCTACTGAGTCTTCCTATTGATTCTGCATTCCGGTCTTCATTCTCCTTTTACTTCGGCGACTTTCAGCCTTCCTGTCTTATGTTTCATTGCATTCTTTTGCACGAGTTTCTCTGTTGCTATTGCACACATTATGTACGGCCACCGGACGGATTCTCCTACCTGTTAGAAGTCCTACTGTTAGAGTGTGCTTTAGGACTGATAGCTTAATGTTTGTCTGCTAATTGTAAAAATACATTGTTGTCTAGGTTCGAATGAGAACGTAGACGTACTCGGTTTTATTCTGGTAGTCAGCCGTCTGGTATCTAACGGTGGTATTGGACATAGAGCTCGAAACAATTTTTTTGCGCTTGGTGGGATGGTCTTACTTCTTTTTTTTTGGATATTTTTATTGATGAGGTTTCAGTTACGTTTTTTTTTTAATCTCGTTTTTCATTTTTGTGTATTTTACATTTACATGTGTCTTTGAATATGTGTGTGATTAGCGAGTCTGGCGTGTTGACCGGATATGTGCATAGGCCCGTACGTCCGCAAATGGCATGTCGAGTTTGGGCATTATCTGGTATCAACATTGTGTTTGGATCTGCGAGTCTAAGTAAGTGTATGTGTTAGTATATTATGGATGACTAAGTGTCTATAATTTCGTAGCATTTTTGTCGTGGCTCGATTTGGCAGCGATCCGACTTGACCTAGATTTCCGGCCGGAGCTGCTCCACCGCGATCGCTATTTATACCGGTGCGTGCTGATGATGCTGCTGCCGGTCCTCTTCCTGGCTCAACGTTGATGCGACGCTATAGAAAAAGTCAAATGCGCAATGACTTTGGCGGTGGCAGCCGCACAGATTCGGCAAGAGTTGCAACGATCTACAGCCATAGAATTCTGCTGCTTGTGGAGATTTAAGCACAGGCCTCGAATAAGCGAGCAATCAGGCCGGTCGAAAAAAATATTGGCGGATCCCCGAATAAGCAAGAGAACAACCAGAACAAAGCAACGTATAAAACAAACGCAGCCCCTTTTCTTTGCGGCTCTGCCGTCCGCTGAACCCGCGGAACGTAACACAAAGTCTTCGTGTTCAGTGTTTCGTTTGTCGGCGTCTCTGCGTAGTAGCTATAAACATTCCATGCCTCTGGTGCTTACGAATATGGATAGCCTGTACGGACGACCTGCAAGCTTCCGTTTATCTTGGGGAGATCACGGACCTCTGAAATCGCCGACCGACTCAGGGGTAACTCCCACTGTTCCTTCGTTGTCGTGGTTTTTAAAAGTGAATAAAAAAAAGACATTCCTGCTAAAAAATCAATGTTATTATAGTACAATGAGGATGTTAATACGGAGCAACAGGCCAGCAATAGCGACGCGGGCGACAACGCCCTTAATAGCGAACGCTGGGAGGAGCGTGGACATGCGCGCCAAGGGACAATTTGCCGCCGTTAGCAGACTCAATGCCCCCTAAAATAATACTGGGCGCGTTATTCACTGCGCGTGTATGTCCATTGGCTTTTAAGCGTTAGATGCAGAGAAATAGAAAGGAACCCGTGATGTAAATAGTGAATTCCCTTCCAAAATTGTAAAAATTCAGTTTCTTTTCCATTGTTGAAAAATCAAGAAGGGTTTAAAAGACGTAGAGTTTTGCTTTGAATTAGTGAAAAAAAGTGCGAGCGTCGTTTCCTTTTTTATATTAGCGGCATCTTTAGAAACACTCGTCAAAGACAGCAGCACCTCAGAGCATCTTATCGTGGTAAACTACAGGTAGGTACAAAAGTTCACAGAGCAGTTAGGCCGCTTGACTTGATGTTGTGATGGACAAGCAGTCCATAAGGTGTATCAGTTGGAGCTGGAACTTTCAATGAATTTTTCCTAGACAAAGTTGTACTTTTTACCTGATGACCTCTTTCAGCTAACTTCAAGCTATTCAACTGAAAATTTACGGCTCAATTAATCATCTCTCACCATTAGACCAAATAGGATCTTCGAGTCACGTAAGCCTTTAAACGAATTCCCTCTTCAAATCCTTATTTCGAACGATCATGCTTTTTTATATTATTGAACGAATATATTATTGCTGCTGAACAACAATAGAATCTACTAGTGATGATGGTGTAATGATGAAATACGTTCATAGACGGCAAGCACGACGGAATCGTACCACTAAATTGTTAATCTGCGTATTTTTAAATCCGCAAAAAAACATTGACTCTTTAAGCCAAATCCCCCTTTTACGAGTACTTTTCGTTTAATAAACAATGTACACACATATATGTGTGTGTGTGGATAAGTGAACTCGGACCACCAATTTTCTGCTGGCAGTTGGTGAGCCACGGACGACAGCAACGCCGCTGCCCCTGTTTCCGGCACCGCTGCACAATGGATACGGAAAGCGACGGCGACTATGAATAGAACCAGCGGGATAATCATCAGCACGATCAACAAGGAATGACAATGACAAAATAATAACAGCCGTAGCCGTAACAGTGGCGGTGGTGATGCGCCGAAGCCAACGAGAAAGACTGATTTGAGGGGTCTTTCATTTGCTGTCTCATGCTTCCATTGGCAATCTGTTTAGCTATCGGCCGGTTGGGTTTCGTGGCTGATGAGAGCTTACGTGCTACGCCTCTATCCGTGCTTTCCCGGAGTCAACACAGAACAGAGCGGGATCGTCGGCGTTGTGCCCGCCCCAATCATCACCAGTAGCATCACCATTATACTCATCATTAAACCATTTTCCTGCTAATGTTGCAGCTGAAGTTTAAGTTACTGCCGGTACATTCAGTCCCACGGAAGTGTCACTTTGAGAAAGTTATTTGTTAGCCAGGCAACGATCCGCGCGTAGTCGCAGTTGCAGCAACGACGGCAGTGTTGCCTCGGCAGAGGCTTGAGAGCAAGGGCTGCTTCGTCATTGTCCGTAACAAAATTTTGTCGATACGTTAATGAAATCGCAAGCGGAATGATAGCGATGGATATTAGATACTATATTTTGCATTAGCGGCATCTATTGTGATTCGAATTGGTCGTTGTTGTGGTAAGTGTCAACCTGAATGCGAGCAAAATTTCACAATGGAAACAGGACAGTGCTAGCTGCAATAACAAGGTCGGTCGCGGCAAAGCTCGTAAAAAATCTTCGGAAGACATTCGCACCCCAATAATGTTCTTCTTTAAACAGCAGCTTGTGATGAACATTCGAATGTTCAGCATAGCATAGATGGTAAGCATTCACACCGTATGAGTTTCGTGCCGTAATTAATGTTCGAATTGGTACACTAACGTTCCGCTTAGCTCACTAAAGACAATAATCACAACGTAAATTTTATCATACATCAGTATAATCGTTTATATAGCCGTCTTCCGCGGGCCTGATTACGTAACCACAGGCTGATTGAGTCGTCTATTGATGCCTACTGCTTTTTCGTACGTTATACTAACGCGTTAAACGTAACTGAAATCGCCGTGCAACGGGTTGCACCATCGTTACTATTAGTCGTTGGGATCGTGGCGTGGCCCTACTCCGCCATCGCCGTTAATACTCCGTTAATACGCGACCGACCGCTGCCTTGGCCGATGGCGAACCTTCTAACGCGTACATTTTCTGGTTCTCGGTGTCATCAGAATCAAGCTTTCGTCACCATTACTTTTATTATACGAGTACCGTTTAGAACGACGTCGCCTATTGCTGCAACCTCGGAGCTGTCAGTTGTCATAGGGCAGCAAAATTTCTAGCCGTTGTACGAAAGAGAGTGGACGAAGAGACGTTTCTTGCATTATATGACCGTTATATAAGCTGGTGACATGGAAATTTTGAAACAAAAAGCATGAGTCAGGCCTGCTCCAGGATCACAGTACGAGTGGTCATAACAATAATTTCTCAGGATAAGTAATAAGAATACATAAATTATCTAAAATGATACCATACCAAGTGGTTCAGCCCATAGAGAAAGAGACATTCTTGTAAACGCCTATGTGCCGTGTTATATATATATATTGCGGTTGATTCGAGGGAGTCAAATAAGTTCGTTGCTACAGATAAACACACTTCAATAAATAATAGAAAACGCAAAATTCAGACAACTTTGACGAAACGTTACCATGCATTATCAGTCGTAGCAGCAGTGCCATAGCTCAGGTCGGGGGGCCAACGAAATCTCAATAATAATGCATTGATTACTTGTGACAGTACAAGATAAAGCAAAGAAAACACCTTGTTGATTAGATTAAAAGTAATTGCAAACAACTGAATATCAATATGGTATATATATATATATATATATATATATACCATATATGATGCGTATGCCAAATTTGCGACATATACTTTAGGCGAAAAAGCATTTCTGTATAGCTTACTCAAGAAATAGACAATTTAGTAGTGTTCGTAAAAAAGCTGAAAGTATGTAGGTAAGTTGTCGATTTTAGCAACAAATAAGACAACAGCCTTTGCGTATCAAAAACTAACGGGTACATTTTTTTATTTTTTAATCAAAAAATTTAACATGTCAAATCATACGTACCGGTAAATCAAAGTGGTTCAGGTAAAAAATATTTTAACCTTATGATATATATGTTTTTATATATATATATATATATATATATATATATATATATATATATATATATATAATAATTTACAAACTTAAGTAGGATATAGCACCAGTGCCATTCTCTACCTAATATTATTTTTATTGTTTTATATATAATGCAGAATATAGGTATTTATATATTTTTTAAATTCAGATGCATTTAGTACTTAAAAATGTGGCTGTCAGCGGGTACTCGGCAAGAATAATCGGTATAACAATCAACAGTTTAAAAATAGGGATCTTTATTGCAAACGTGATGACAAAACGTTGGAGGTCTTCGCTGCCGTGTGCAGTTGCACAGAGGAAAAAAAAAGTCGAAATTAGTGTATAATTGTATAACCACAACATATTTCAGCTTTTGATTGGTTTACTTCACTTCTCTGTTTGCTGTTTTGCCATAATTCAGAAAAAGGTCCTGAAGAGTTTAGCTAGATAGCAGAAAAGGGATGAAAGAATCAAAGAAATACTAGAGGTATTTGGCACCGCAATTGCCCCGTGGGCTATCGTTGAACAAATTACTATAGATAAGCAGGGCGTAAGCAAGAAAGAAAGTGGCAAGGCATTGAAAAATAAAGAAATAGTGGAAAATGAATAGAACAGAGATAAAAAGCAGCGTCATTGTTGCAACTAAAAATGGATGAAGGAAACGGAAATAAGTCAATGACTGAATAAAAAAGGCCAACGGCCAAATGAAATTCACTCAAATCCTTTCATGCGTACAGGACCTGTGCGCATATGTTACAATTTCATGATATATGCGCACGCTTCATAAGCTAGGTATCTAAGCAACTAGTACCTGGAAAAAAAAAAAAAAATATATATACGTTAAGAGAATTCATTGTGAAAACGTTGATAACGTCGAATGGAAAACAAAAATGGCGAGCAATAAAGAAACAAGGTTTGTTTAAACTAGTTCATCGACTTTTGACGACGGAGGCGCACCATAAACCGACCACACGAAATTATAATAAGAATAAACTTCCGAGTCCAGCTTTTATTTGACGAGTAGAGCTCACACGTTGAAATTATGCAGACGGCTTTACTGCTAGATAACCGACAACACTATACATCAATCTCTCATGATGTTCTAGCGTAACGAATTAATTACAAAATTTTCGATATTATTCTTTAGTGTTAGCTATACTTTACCCGGGATCAAGTGGACTCTCTAGTAGCGCTGTATAAACATGTAGTATCATCATATAGTTGCGTTAGTTTATCGGCACTCTAACATCTTAAGGAGGCGGGGCGAACACGTCTCTGTGTGTAAATGTAAACTTAGTAACAATTCATCGAGAGATTCATCGGTACGTAATGTTATTTTAATTTTCAATTTCTCCAATCGTTTCACGACCTCCTGTCTCCGTGGTGTACGATTTGAATTAGGTAAATATATAATTTATCTGTTCCATATCAAACAAACTGCGCCAGCGCATTTATACGATATTCTACTTGTCGTTATATAAACTATATTAAATATTATGGCCTCCAAGCTTAAGCCATTCGTACATATATTGTTCTTTTTTTTTTGTAAATTAATATTACATGTACCAGTGACCTACCAGGTAGCTCGCTGGCACAGTCAGTCATTAAACTATTCAAATTTACGCAGTGGATTAAAATATACGCCAAAAGCGCTGAAATTTTTCATTCATTCGTAGTGGTACTGTTAGTTAGGGTTACTTTTTTTTTGCCTTATTCTGTTTCCATTGTGAGGCGGGGGGAGAGAGAGAGGGGGGGGAGGGCTCGATTCCTTCGTACCCTTGATGATTGGTTCGATAGAATATTTGCGTCTTTGTCCTAGAGATAGATCGCTTTGAAAATCAACCAAATTTTTCGTTCAAGGAATCCACAACTTGTCATCTATTTTCGTTCATTTTGTACATTCTCTTTACAAAGTAATTTATGTACTTATACTAAACATTATTGAGTACCATATTATAATTATTATATTAGTGCTATTTCAAGAGCATTTAGTATAGTGTCACTGCTAATCTGCTCCGTATCATTTTTGTATGCTACCATTTCGCATTCACACGAATATATATACTGATAATATGGCGTATTTAAGGTGCACTTTATTTACCTCAGGCAATCAAACACACTCGAATAGCCCTTTCAAATCACAATTGTCTCATAGACGCGTTTTGTTATGTTTAAAGTGGTCAATACGTGCACCATATACATTTACCATCTCAGACAGTCGCATGATGCATTAAGCTGGTACTGCGCAACAGTAACGATAGAGCTTCAAAGCTTCTGACAACAAACTGGAAAAATTTCAAAAGGTGTGGACGGAAGGTGGTAGACTTGCTACTCAGTGTATATATTGTGAAGCTTGTGTTAACCATTAAGAAGACCCAATATCTATCAGCTTTCGCAGGCCGTAACTTCCTTGGCGGTGGAAACACTGTTTTCGTTAACGTCATCATCGGGTTTGGTGTTCTTGTCGTTACTAGAGGAAGAGGTGGAGTCCTGTTGTCGCTTGATACGAACGACGTGCTCACTCACAAGTTTCTTTAGCAGGTTTATCCTGCTCTGGAAGGCGCGTCGGCGAAGGCGCATCCGTTCGATGTTTAGCTGTGCCAGCCGAAGTCTCCTAGCTAGGCTAGCGCTCTTTACGCGAGAACGAAATGATTTCGTCTTCTTGACAGGTTTCACCTCTTTCGAGGTCGTCACCTAAAAAGGAGAGCATCAATACATTAAACCATTAATGGAACTGTTTGTTGTGTAATAGTATCTTTTTTGTTGCACAACAAGCAGTCCTTTACTATTTGCTTGTACTTTTCATAATTTATCGATCGTAACTATGGACTTAATAAAGATATTGTCAATTCTCCTTACATTGCCTTGTTTATGTACCGCTGTTTAAAGGCTTTGTTTAAGAAGTATATGGGGGGTGATGTTGTAACGAAGACTCTTCCATAGTTGGATGCGGAAGGAAGGAAGGCAGCCAGCGTGGAGCCCTCGCTACGCTCCTATTTGCTTTTGTCGTGTTACGTCGATATTATTGAAATGTTGCATGGCATTCATGTTCTCGTCAGGGGAATACAGGATTTCTATCGCAGTTGAATTGTTTTAAACGGTTCAGATAAAATCGCTTAATTTTCATGATCGGCTCTCGATTCGTGATATAACGTATCCCGTTTGTTGACATAGACCTTAAAGCTTATCGGAATTCTATTCAATAAAAACACTCGAAGTGGTAATTTGGCGATGATTTATGCTCTATATGATTTAGTTAACCCAGTGATACAAGCCTACAGAAACTGCAGCTGATTATGATTTTATGTCGAAAATTATTTTCTCAAATGAGGCGCATTTCCATTTGGTTGGACCAATGAAGAAACAAAACTACCAGATACGCTAAATTACGACCTTCACACTATTTACAGTCAGCTAAAAAGGGTGAAAGTAGTCGTCAGGTGCGGGCTCTAGACATGGAGCTTCATCAAATCGGTTTTTCTGGCTGACGACATTCTTTTCAGTGATATGCTAAAGAACCTTTTGCGGCCGCCACTGGATGAACACGGCTTGGAGCGTCTGTGGCTTTATCTGCATGGTGCCGCCCGCGATTGCGCGTCTGAAACACTAAGACTATCGAGGGGAATGTTTCATAAACACAGAGTTTCGTGCGAGCCTCCATGGTCGCCCCACCTATGCGACTGAGCACCACAGGACTCTTTTCTACAGAGTTCACGCAGGAAGACATCTATAGTTTAAGGCTATCTGTAGGGGGGTGGGGGGTGGGGTGTTTAAAGACTATATGCGACAGTATATTTTGCCAAACAGACCAAATTCGTATAGTGACGTTACTAAACGTGATGTCCATCATTTAGAGCGTATAGAGAGATTTCGAAATTGTCACCTGAGTGATAGACGATGTGCGAAACGCAATGGGCGAGCACTGAATTTCATAACATGATCTTGATGTTGTGCCTATGCGACGACCTGGTGTCATTTAACACAGTTCGAAGCTAATACATCGATAATGGACGACCTTGTCATGTAGGCGCAAAACGCCAGGTTTTCTATTAGCTTTACCCAAAAGATTGCAGAATGTCAATCAGTAGCCCAGATGGTTATAACAACACGTATACAAATACGCTTGAGCGTTTTCAGGTTTTAATATTAGTACTGTTATATTGCTACCATATATTCATCTGCGTCACATAATCTATGGATTTAACTATTGTCTGCATCGTCGCTTTCAGCAACGTACTATTTGGCTATATTGATAAGATGTTCAATTAGCACGGCTAGACTTTTCGTATATATAGATAATAACCTTATGCCTGTCTAAATTGTTGCAAATATGTCCGTCTACAGGGAGAAAGACATAAGCTTTGTTCCCAGCGAATTCACGAGTGCGCGCAGAGCAATGAATGGAAGTTAGTTATAAGCCGTGTCTTTGACAAAACTTTGAGAGTGTCCCTAGTTCCTGCAATGGCTATAGACACTCAGCGCTACTGATAATGTAATGATCCAGACGGCCGAGTGAATAGAAGGAAACAAGTAGACGGAATCTGTATGTATGGCTCAATAAAAAGTTGAATTAGAATCAGTCATCTAGGACAGTAAACAATTATAGCATCAAAAATGTAAAGTGAACAAAACGAGTAATGATACATAACAATTTCCAACGGAATCGGCTACTGGCTAGTTATGGAAACCAAGATGGCGGCCACGGAAGATGCTTTTGCTACCAAAGGCGTCTACAAACTAACTGATAGCCCATAATAAATAATGGTCCAATAGAAATAATAATAGAATTTCTCTCTGCTGAGGCATAATGGTGCCTATCATCGGCAACATACAAAGCCATATTAATTATAATAACGCAAATAAGATACATATTGGCTCATAAGCGATACGAGCTCTGCGCTCAAGTTCTGTCAAGGATATGAGATTATTACGAGATGTGAGATCAGAGGTATGAGGGAGGTAAAAAAGGTTGTTGTTGTGCTTAAAAGGAATCTGGAGAAAAGCATACCGGGGTATTACGGAAAATAGCATGATATTAAATTGTAACTAGGCGAACCTTAGCTTCGGCGCGTCGCTCGCTTGCCGCTCAGGTGAACAGCTTTGACATTTACACATGAAAAGATGACGATCCTTCTCTACTCATGGTTTGTTTCTCTTTGCCTGACCCCCCCCCCCCCCGCGATGGTCTGCTGATGTAACTGCTGCTGGGGTCTGATGACTTTGATATCACTCTGCTACTGCCCCCGACAACAACGTAAAAGCCGTGGACGTTCTTGGCGTTACCAGTGACTCGCCTGCAATGTCCAGCAGTAGTTGCTGGTGCTAGCAACAGCTCTCCTGAAAGGACCTCGAGCCCCGAAGGTTCTCAAGAAGCGCGGCGCCGTCAATACGTTCCAGTCATCAGCACAACGCCGTAAGCCGACCCAGCACTCAACAGCATTGGCAGTTATATGTATATGCGCGGTGCACACTGATGCCTGCCAACAGGCTGATAGTTACCAGCGTCCATTCCACTATCTGTACCCGTCAATGATATACTAATATTAAGCTTTTTGTCAGTGAGTCAATCGGGGCGCCATGCTGGCCTGTAACGGTAGATGCTTGTCTTCGGCAGCTAATCCCCGTCCGACTTCGAAACCGGGTGCGCACAACTGTGCTGGGACCGAGGATCAAAGCTGCGGTAGTCACGCTCATAAACTGGCTGCCGACAAATGCATAGACGAGCAGTGAGCAACCCTTGTTATATATATATATATATATATATACATATCATACCATTATATATTGACAAACAGAATATCGAGGCCGCTCAATTAGACCAGCACGGCGTGTTGTCGTTGTCAAATCAATATCATTACAATACATCCCCGTTTATTGCGGCCACTAATACTGGCTTTACGATAGCGCCTGTTATTGATGCTGCTTCTGCAACCGTGTAACTGTACGGTTCTGATTCCCGATCCATCTCAGCCTTTGCCGTTGCGTCATATTTGCAGTAGATTGAACATTTCGCAGTGATATTATCTGGTGGGGACAGGTGCTGAGCAAGCATTAGCGAACGAACGATACTCGGGGACACGTGAACCACGCCGAAAAACAGACACAACACTGAGGGCCAACGGCAAGGGGCAAATCAACTGGTGGATAGACAGACAGGCAGGCAGGCAGGCAGGCAGGCACATAGATGGACACAGGTCGTGTGCTGGAGGAGGGCGCTTGATATATGCTGCCTGAGCCGGTATAGATCGAAATAGCAGGCGCAACAATCGGGCCACGCTAATACTAGCCGTAAGTCTGTGATGATCGCCGAAGCATGGTTCTCCAAGCAAGCAACAGCGATATTGAAATAGAAGACTCGCTGGCAGACCAAGGGACCAGCCTATCACGCTAATAGCACGCTATTCGAGAAGTCGCACACGAAGTAGCGAACAGCCACGACGTCAGTAGCGAGTAACCGTATGAGAAGTGGCTTTTTTTATTTGCCATAGGATAATGGCAAATACTGTTGAATGATCGTGGTCATTATTTAGTATATTGTCAAGCAAGGTCGCCGCGATTGAGCTTAGAGCTGTTATGATGATTGTTCTTATTATTGAAGCTTGCTTTGTGATAACTTCATAACCTACTACAGGGCCAACATTGGCATGCATTAGGTTTGAAAGGCTGTTCGGAAAGGCAAACTAATCGAACAGTACGTTTATAGGGATAAGTAGCGATATTCATACATGCACATTGATAATGGGACTGTAAGTCGAGATACATCCCGTCAGGGTATCCGTCTCATTCTACTTCTGCCCCATTTATAGAAAGAATCTAGGAAACGTGGGGCGACATCGTTCGTCCAGTCCTTCCTTTAATAGAGGAAACACGCGACGGTTGGATAGGAGAATTCAATTGCACCTGTCCTGCAGTGTCATAGATTATGCCAATATGAATTAAATCAAGCAGCGTGGACGCTTATAAATAAATAAATAAGCGCAATTTCTCACAGTCTTAAGGAGGATCTACGTGCGAGATCACGACAAACGTTGCCAAATATTTAAACGCGCAGCTTCTTAGAATAACAAGAATTAAGAACTAAAAAGCTAAAAATCTAGCACGAAGGACTATATACCAATTACTTGGAAGTTCATAAATAGTATCGCATAGAGACAACCTCTTCGGCTCAATATATAAATATTCACGGGTTCTATAGAAAAATAATTAAATGTTCACTGCCTTCTCTAAAGATACAATAAAATAAACGAGACCACGTTCTACTCCTCATTTCAGATCCTTTCTAATCTAAAAAGCCCTCAATGTGCCTTATACGAAGATAATACTCCCTTCCATTTGTTATTTCTCTCTATGCACCGTTTGTCACGCAATAAAATCTATGAAATCATAGTTATAGTATTCGATGACGATATCACGTAATCTTCCCCCATCTGCATTTCTCAGTGTCTCTCACACCAGAATTGTCATTCACCCCTGACGTTCCGGCATCCACCATATACTTCAGATAGTCGGAGGCAATCTTCTGATGTACGGAAAATGTATCGTCAGGACAGAAACAAGTCGGGCAACGCCATCCAAACGGTAAAACAGTAAACCAGAAAAACGCACATATAGAAGAACACAGACACATACACGCACCGTAACACATAAGTCACAGGCGGAAATGTGTGTTCTCAGTGTTTTAGAAGGATGAATCA